AAGTACATTCTATTGATAATGTTAAAATGTATTTCAGACAAATGCAGTCTATTTAAAATGTACTTAAGTATATATTTTTCACCTGGGATAACACAGCTCTAATGCTCTTAAGACAAGTTGGAGTTGYCAAATATACAATTCATGTGAGTTAGAGATGTACTGGACATGCCTACAATGACTCTGTTTGTATTGAGATTAAATTTCACTGATTTTATTTTTTTTTTCCATGTTCAAAAGTCAAGAGACAGGACTGCGTACCTCTGTAATTCACATCTGGAAATGAAGAATCATCATGAACATCACTGGACATTCTGGAGACTCCTTCAGGAACATCAGCTCACAGCCCAGTGAAATATGACTGTTGTTGAACAGGTTAGTGTGAGGATTTATTTTTGTGTCTTTCTGTGTTGGTACTGTGATGGTCTGATAAATATAGAGGATACTCTGCCTCTTGCCCACTGACKACTGCTTATCTGCACCAAACCAACACAGCAAAATTTGTATGGCCAAGTTCTGGTCCACAAAATGCACTAACAATTGGCTAAGATACCACAAAGAATGATGGCMGTTTGGTRGCACTGAATCTCAGTAYAATCCCCACTGACTGTCCAATAATTTCAGAAAGAGGAAGATAATATTTATTATTATCTTTGAAAAGTTCACTGGGATTACATTTATTGTGGTGCTGTATAAATATATGGAATTTAAAAACTTTATTTAAAATTGACACAAGAAACATTAATATCACTGACACAGAATGGATTGTTTTTTTGTATTTTTATGAAACTTAAATGAGTGTGAGCTATCAAAGATGCTGTGATTCACAGTTTTTGAGCTCTAGAAGTGTCCACAGACAGACATGTCGACTGTACRTCAGTACTACACACATGCAGTGGAAAACGAAAGCTTTAAAGAAATCTATTTGTAATTTAAATGGAAATGTAATGAGTCCATGGTGGCAGTGAATTAGCCTGCTGATCGACTGATTATGTCAAGGACAAATAGGTAAACAAACATATCCATTAGGCTCCTGCATGTGCTCCCTGCTGAGGATGAGTCCTGGAGGATCGCTAAGAGCGAAGACGACAATGTGTCTGAGTTCAATGAGTAAGGAGAGATAATGACAGAAAATACTGTCAAGTTTTCTTTTTTGTTTTTTTGTTTTTTCTGATGAGACTCAATGAGTAAATACAAATAACTTAAAACAAAAGTAAACACCATCTCACTAATAATAAAGCCTCACTGTGACCAGGGGTGGACTGGGGCAAAAAGTGGCCCGGGAATTTGGAAATTTAGTAATTTAGGGATTTAGGGATTGGGAAACAGTGTTTTTTTTAACACTAATGTAAGTCAAAATTTTGGTATAAATATTTGGTCCTACAGTGTGTGGTGTACAGCCACACGGCAAGAGACAACACACCAGACGAAAACATATTTCATTCATGAACATTCAAATGGCAGATGTGAAATCACGCGAGACTTCTTGAAATCTTGCGAGAATCATGATAATCTGGATGTCTTTAAGATTGTCCGAAAGGCAAAATCAGGCCAGAATTCGGCACAATTATCCTGTCTTGTGAGGCAAGTCTGTATGCTTCATTAAAAAAATAATTCAAAGTCTTTATATCTGGGCAGCTTGGCCCAATGTGTGTGGCAGCTGTTCTCCAGGGTTGGGGTTTCAACCCTCAGCTCCTACACAAAAATAACCTGCAGAAATTAAATGGTATATATACACTTTCACTTGAATATGTTTAAAGTGCATTAAAACCCTTACACACCACCAGTAATTTCTGCTCCCCCTCACTAAGGTAGCTACACTCAATCAGGCGTCTTAATTACCACAGCTAATTCTTCTTAATAGGAACCCAATGAAGAGCTTCTTTAGTTCGATGGGCTGTCAGAATAACTTCAATACTGCCTATTAGTCAAAGCACACAGAAAGATTCTTGTGTTAAACTAGGAAAATCTGTTGGACTTCAGAAATTGGTCTAAAATGTTTTTTTTTCACATAAGTCCGTTTGTTTATGTGTTTAAATGTCATTGTCAAATCTTATAGTGAAATACAAAACAGGTAAAAACTAAATAGAACACCTGACAAGGTATTAATACAACAGAGTACATCACAGAGCTGTCAGCATAAAAGTAGAAAATATTGTTTGATACTTTTAAGTCATGATTGTTAAAATATATTTCTGACACATTTGGCAAACTAAAATGTACAAATGTGTGAATAAAAATAGTTATCTGAGGTTTTAGTTATTAATAGAAGATATTTTTGTATAAACTTCATTTTCTGAAAAAATGCAGAGAGTTCTGAATAATATGGCTGAAATTTGTTAAAGCAGCTGAAATGGAGTTTTTAAAGCTAAAAACAAAGCAAAACAATAGCTAAAATGTAAACATGCATCCATCCATCATCTATACCTGCTWATTCCTTTCAGGGTCACTGGTGTCCATATCCAGCAGTCACAGTGCGAGGGGCGGGGTACACCCTGGACAGGTCTCCAGTCCAGCAGGGACACATGGAGACAAACGAGACAAACAACCATTCACTCTCTCACTCAAACCTAGGGACAATTTAGAGTTATCAATTAACCTAACAGTCATGTTTTTGGTCTGTGGGAGGGAGCCGGAGTACCCGGAGAGAAACCACGCATGCACAGAGATGTAGCCCCTTATTTACTCAGATTATATTAAATAAGTAGGCTCTGGGTTCTTTTTTTTTACAGTGTACTCTCGTACTATATGCTTCTAGCTTAACTTTTTTCTTAATAAAATAAATTTGGGTCTCTGAAACTTACTTTTAAAAGTTACATTTCCTGTTAAAGGGAATACCAATGTTAATAAAATTACACTTTACACAGGTTAATGCAGAACATAATAACCCTCCTTTAGTTAAAAAAAATAATAAACAAATTAGGTGACAGGTTTTTGCAATCAGGCTAAAACACAACAAATGTCCAATTGTAGTGAATTCCCACCCACAGTGTAAACCAAACTTTCTAGAATTTGCTGTCCGCAACTAAATCTAAAGCCAGTACAAATACACCGTTTGTTGCAGGCCTGTATCGACGCTTGTGTGTGCAGAAATCCAATTAAACCCCCGAAACAGGAGTTTATTCACTCCAAGAGCAAAAATAAAAATAACTTAAGACTCAGTACCTTGTAAACRTGAAATTCCCACTAGATTATTCCAGGCCAACAGGTTGTCCTCGCTCCTTGAGATCCTCTGAGCGTCCAAACAGCAGTCCACAGATGATCAAAGAGATGGACTCCATGTGCTCCACAGCTACTTGTTTTCATTCCCACGTTGCCAGAGGTACTCTGAATGACACGGGCACTCAGAGTGACTATCTGGAGTCCGTCCGTTGTTATCCAGTCCGGTAACAATCCTCTGCAGCTTCTTAAGATCCATGAGATTAGCGAAACAGCAGCCTACAGAAGTCCTCATTAGCATACGGCTGCATCAGCAGAATCATGTGACAGTTGAGGTCCAAACACAACTGCAACTTGCTTTGGTGTCTTGACTTTTGTTTTCTGTCTGTCAGAACAGTTCTGGTTTTTCTCATAAATTGGCAATCTCACATGTTGGCCAGTAGGAAGGATGTGATCTCTGTGGATGGTTTTCAGTCGACCACTTCCATTGTCTTTTTTCAGTTGGTACACAGGAAGGTTGGGCATTTTTCCAACAACTTGATAAGGTATAGGACTCCATCTTGTTTGCAACTTATGCTTCCCTTTTAGACCCCAGTTCTTTAGCAAGACTCTGTCTCCTATATCTAAAGACTGGAAATCAATTCTTCTGTCATAAGCCGTTTTGTTCTTTTGATGGAGTTTGTCTGCTGCCTCGGATACTAGCTTGTAGGCTTAATGGAGATCATCTTTGAGCTTTGAAACATAGAGGGAGTGACTCTYTTCAGTTTTGTCAGTTGTCGTTCCAAAGCACAAGTCTACTGGCAGTCTGGCTTCATGGCCATACATCAAAAAATGGGGTGAAACATCTTGTGCTGTTATAAGCATGGACCAAATAGAAACATTTTGACTCCACTGATGTTCTTTCTCTTTGCTGAGAGTACACAACATTGACAACAACGTTTGATTAAACACTCTGGCTGGGGGTCTCCTTGCGGATGATATGGGGTAGTCCATGATTTTCTTATCCCCATATTCTTCAACAGGTCTTCATCCCTGGTCAGAATGGATATGAGCTGGTAGTGTCACAGACCATTGCAAAGTTTATCTGATTGTTTTGGATTGTATTTTATCTTTTTTGTATTTTGGGTTCTTTATTTAACATTTGGTGTTTTGGATTGAGCATGTTTTTCTTTTACTCAACTCATCCTGATAATCTGCTGGTAATTGCTTCCTCTCCCTGAACTGAATTGCTGGATTCTCATTGGCTGAGAGAATGAGTCCCATGCCCTCTTAAGCTGGACAATTAAAACCAGGTGGGGGAAGTTGGAAGAGGGGGAGAGGACCATCCCACTGCTCAGCTCCTCCAAACCTGGTCAACCTGTCAACCCTGCAGCGAGGCGGCTTGGTGTGGTCTTTGATTCAACGCTCACAATTGTTCAACTAAAGGAAAAGCACAAGTGAGAGCACAGGACGTGGGTGTGCAGCTGGAACGTGCAGGCTCTGAAAGGACCAACCATAACTGGGTTCATTGGAGTGGAGATCTAGCAGCTGGCCTCCATACAGGTGGATAGGTGGATGGAACAGTTTCCTGCCAGGACTGCGTGGTGATCTCCCCTGCTGGTGTGGTGACAGACTTTAAATGAAAAGCATGAGATGAACTGAACTGAGCTGTGCAATGGGAGACTTGGACTGTTGTTTTTTTTGGATAACCTGTTTCTTCCTTTTGCAGATTTTTCTCTTTCAGAGATTGTTTTATTCAATTTTAATCTAGGTTTTTCTTAATTGTTGTTTTTACAAATAAATGTGAATTTCACTTTTAGACCAATTATATTCTCCACTCTTCATTGCGATTGTGTGACGGGAAAACTAACCGATTGTAAGAAAGCAGTTAAAAGCTGTGACATTAGCAGTATTGTTAGC